GACTGTAAATTGGCCATGGTTGACTTTTTCTCCAATATAGCTAATTTTTAGGTCAACTGTCCAATTGACTGGGCAAAAAGTGATTCAAGGCTTGAAACTTGGTATGAGCAATCTTAGAGGTCCAACATGAAGTATGAAAGTTACATGAGGCATTGGAAGTCCAAAAATCCTTGTGCAAACTCAAACCCTAATTTCAGGTCATCAGTGCAAGGAGATGTCTTGAGTTGAGCAAACCCTAATCTGGTCTTGAGTCCAAAGAGTCTTGTGAGGAGAATCTTGATAAAATGAGAGGGAAAATTTTGGGGCACAACACCAACCTTAAATCAATCTTGCTAAACACATGCCACCCACCAATTGATCCATCAAGTCATCTATTTTTGGAAGTGGATACTTTTTTTTATTGTCACTTTATTTCATTGTCGGTAATCAACACAAAGCCTCATACTACCATCTTTCTTCTTTGCAAGAAACATCAGAGCTCCCTAAGGCGATACACTTGGCCTCCCAAACTTCTTTTCAAGCAAGTCTTCTAATTGTTTCTTCAACTCTGATAATTCAAACACTGACATCTTGTATGGTTCCATAGAAATAGGTCTGATACCAGGAACAAGATTAATTGAAAATTCCACTTCTCTTTCTGGCGGCACATCTGGAATATCATCTGGGAAAATATCAAGAAATTCACATACTTCTTGTAACTCATCAATCGCAGCCTGATTCTCAATAGACAAAGACACCATCAACTAAAACACCTGAGCTTCATCCTGCATTAACTCATTCAGCTGTCTAGCAGATACGAATCCAGCTTCCTCATCCTCATCAGGAGTATAAAATTTCACCGACTTGTTGTAAAAGTTAATATGAACGTAATTATATTCCAACCAGTTCAAACCCAAAATTATATCCAGACCACTCAGTGGTAAACAAACTAGATCAACAACAAAATATATGTCATAGATGGACAAAGGACACTTCAATAACACTAAAGAAGTAGTCACGGATCTCTTAGCTGGAGTATTGATAACCATTTCTCCACCTATAGATGATAACACAAGACCCAACTTTTTCGCACAATCAGCAGCAATAAAACAATGTGTAGCACTAGTATCAATAATAGTAATTAAAGGAATACTACTAATGAAACATATACCTCTGATCAAGCAGTCTCCATTGGATGTCTGAGTCCCAGCTAAAGCAAACGCATTCCCACTGGTCTTAGCTTACTTCAGTTTTTGACATTGAGTGATGATATGTCCTTCTTCGCCGCAGTTGAAACATATTTCCGCTTTGTGTTGGCAATCAGTTATTTTGTGTCCAGTCTTACCACAAAGAAAACACCTCTTCACTTACCTAATACATGCATTACATCAATGACTAGGTCTTTCGCATTTGTAACATATGACACCAGTAGGAGCACCTCCCTCACTAGTCCTCTTACCATCTTCAATTCTTTGTTAACCCTTGTTAGTTGGAGAATTATAAGGCTTCCCACGGTTGGATTGTTTCTTGCCTCTCCTATCATTCATGACCTTGTAGCGAGCCTTATTGTCCTCTTCATATATTCTGCAACTATTCACCAAATCTGGAAACTTACGGATCCGCTGATACCCAATTGCCTTCTTGATCTCTGAACGCAAGCCATTTTCAAACTTTATGCACTTTGAAAATTCAGCAGTTGCCTCGCTGTAACAAGGATAGAACTTTTCCAGCTCCATGAATTTAGCAGCATACTTAGTTACTGACAAGTCTCCCTGTTTCAATTCTAGAAATTTGATTTCTTTCTTTCTGCTGACATCTTCCAGAAAGTACTTTCTTAGGAATTCCCTGCTAAATACAGCCCATGTAATCTCTTCACCTTCACTATTCAGTCTCTCACGAGTGTTAACCCACTAGTCATCAGCCTCTCCTGCCAGTGGATACATTACAAAACACACCTTATGTGCATCCGTACAATCCATAAACCAGAAGATCCTCTCGATCTCCTTGACCTAACTATGCACTTTATCGGGGCCATACTTACCTTTGAACATAGGTGGATGGTTCCTTTGTAATGTTTCCAAAATGCGGGATCCATCATTCCCACCAGTATTAGGATAATGTTGCATAACCTGAGCCTGCAAAATAGTAGCAAGTGCATCATCGTTCCTTCCAGCCATTACTATGTTACACATCATAACATTAAACAATGGTTATAAGAAACACATCAACGATATTCAACTGTCACACTACACTACTGACTCGACAACCTGGTCAGACGGACCGACCTGCTCTGATACCACTAATGTAACACCCTATTTTCCCCATCGGTAATTTAACAAAATCAGAGTGAACAAATTTTTAAATCAAAACATCAAGAATAGGATGACACGTCTTTCAACCTATCATAAACTTTATCAAGTATAAATAAACATATACATAACACTTTTTCAGATGAACCGACAACATTTCCAAACTAGTTCTCAAAACTTCAACTTTATTAATGCAGCAGAAAGAAATCATATTCATTATTCAACATCTTCGACCAATCTCAAACCAACAATTAATCAAATAAAAATGAGTTTACAATACTCTGACAAATCATCAAAACAAAACAACAATTAAGTAAAAAAAGTAAGTGTTCATCCCTCCCTAGTGTTACGTATCAGAGCACTAATGCCAACTTAAAAATAAGAAGAGTAACCTCTTCTAGACTCCACAACTTTGGACTACTCCTGATTATCTGCACGTTACCCCCGTAGAGGCAACATTCAAACAAAAGGGGTTAGATATCACAACATTATATCTGGCTTAGACTCTCTGCATTCATCTATATTTGGGCATTTTATTTTTTGGGCATAGTGAAGAAAAGTTTAGATCATGATGTTGGGGTTGCCGAAGTTTTTGATCTTAGTCTTTCAGAAGATCAGTTTATATCACTTTTTCCGACCTCTTTATCATATTTGAGGTTAATTTTGAAGAGATTTGGGGATCTGAGTCACAGAGCTTTTAAAAAGATCCCGTACTTCTATTCAAAAATCCTTTTAAAAGGTTTTAGTCAGTGGAAGAGCTTTTTGTCCAAAGACATATTTGAGGAAGAGTATGGAGAATCTGTCCCATCATCTGTTCAAGAGCTTCTCTGTCTTACTGATTGTAGTCTCCTTAGAAAATCAATCAATATGTTGCAGTATCACTTTGCTCTTAATGGAGATTCTCTGAAACTGAAGAACCGTTTGAAGCTATTCAAATCCATTTGGCCCACACTTGCCTTGCATGATGAGCTGATGGACTGTCATAGTCAATGTGTTGATAGTTATTCTCTTTGCCAGTCTTTCAACATAATCAATCACGTTGTCGCAAAGATATCACTTTGTAAAAGGTTACTGTTTCATGATGATGAAGGTGGGGATTTGAAAGAGGTTGCTCTGGAAATGCAAAGTAATTTGAAAGCATCCAGGATACATTTCATAAATGTTTTGGTGAACATTTGGCAGCTTATTATTCAGAAATTTTCTTTATCCTCTGATCAGTCTGGAACAAGGAAGAGCACAAGCACATTCACCTTCCCCACTCCTCCTAGTCTTGAACCAGAACCCCCAAAATCTTCAAACAAACCAAAAGTCTGAGTAATTTATCAAATGGAATCCAATAATCCTTACGAGATTCTCGACGACGATGATGGTTTTGATTGGGAAGCAGCTGCGAGAGAAATCGACGCGGTTTGTCAAATGAGAAGTGGCGCGAAAACGAACGAAAGCGAATTGGAAAAGGTTCGTCAAAAGCGCGAAAAGAGAAAAAGGGAAAGCAATCGACTCCTGATAGTTTTGTTGGAATTGCGGAAAAGGAAAGTGAAACGAATCCAGTTCGAGAAAATGATGCTGAAGAATCTATCTGTGACCATCATATTGACAATGAAGCAGCCAAACTTGAATATATCCAGTTAATGTTCCTCTCAGTGACTATCAATTCCATATTGCCCAAACTGCTCTCTTTCAAAACACTTTGGTCGCCTTGCCAACAGGACTTGGCAAAACTCTCATTGCTGCTGTTGTCATGAATAACTACTTTAGATGGTCTCCCGAGGGAAAAATAGTATTTGCTGCTCCTTCTCGACCACTCGTCATGCAGCAGATAGAAGCATGCCATAACATTGTTGGGATACCGCAAGAATGGACAGTTGATATGACCGGTCAGTTAAGTCCTCCCAAAAAGAGCTCGTTTGTGGAAAACGAAGCGAGTTTTCTTTGTCACTCCACAAGTTTTGGAAAAAGACATTCATTCTGGTAAGTGTTTGGTGAAGTACTTGGTATGTTTGGTGATTGATGAAGCTCACGGAGCAATGGGAAATTACTCGTATTGTGAAGCAGTTCGCTAGTTAATGGTTGTACCAGTACAACTAAGAATATTGGCATTAACCGCAACACCAGGATCCAAACAGCAGACTGTCCAAGATGTTATTGGTAATTTACATATCTCCAAGCTTGAACATCGCAATGAAACTGACCACGATGTTATACCGTATGTTCACGACAGGAAGAAAAATGATGAAAGTGCTGTTGTGGAATCAACATCAACAGATATAGTCAAGTTTGCGGATTTTGATATTGGGGTATTGGTGGAGGAAGTAACAGCCAAAAGCAAAAATATGGAGTCGGATCACAATGTGCTGCAGAAGAATTTCGTGCAGGAAAAGCCTAAACATGGTAGTAGTATTACTGGTCTTGCACATGGAGTGCAGGAAAGAGATCAGAAATATGTAAAAAAGTGGCATTTGATGTATAAGCATGCAGTGTTAAGTAATGCAGGTAAATGTGAAAATAAGCTTCCCTTTGTTGGGAATGAAAAGGAAGATAGCAAAGGAAACAACTCTTCTTGTCACAATTGTAGTGAAACAGATTCGGATATGGATGATGAAAAGAAGAATGTAATTCGCTGGTGCTGCTCAATCTCTTGGGGCTGGGGCACTCCTGGTCAACCCCTGGAACATCACAAAAGTTGCTGAAGCAATTTCCAAAGCTCTGAACATGCCATCTGCAGGGAGAGAGAAGCGACATAGGCATAACTTTCATCATGTAACAACACACACTGCACAGGAGTGGGCAGAAACTTTTGTAAGTGAGCTTAATGATACTGTTGTTGAAGCACAACTGAGGACAAAGCAAGTTCCACCACGGCTCCCAGCTGACAAGGCAATTGAACAATATCTGACGTCAACCAATCGGCTACCTATTTTGGGATTCAATGGAACATTAACTGAACCAGTTGAGAGAAAAGGGTAATCCTATTGAAAAGGTTTGTAAAGGCACTAGAGAAAGTAAGGAACATCAATTCAAGAAGACCAGGAACATTGCCTTCAGATGCCAACTTCGAAGCGGAAAAAGTTTTTCTTAACCACCAAACAGCAGATGAGAGGAAAAAAATTCGGAGTGGATGCTTGACAATGCACTTCAAAAGGTTATTTCTAAACTTGCACCTGCTCAAAGACAAAGAGTGAGGCTTTTAGTAGAAGCTTTTGAAACGGTTCTTCCATTTCAAAATGCTGAAAATAATACTGCTCTGGAGATGATTCCAACAGTAGTAGCAGCACCTCAACTTATTGCAGAAGATTGGGTAGCTTGCGACAGATGCCAGAAATGGAGGCTTCTACCTACTGGCTTAAAGCCAGAGCAACTTCCAGAGAAATGGTTGTGTGTCATGCTTAATTGGCTGCCTGGGATGAATCCTTGTGACTTCAGTGAGGATGAGACAACAAAGGCATTGTATGCTTCATATCAAGTGCCGATTTCTGAGGGTCAAAATAACTTGCAAATGCATGCCTCTGAAACTGCATTTGGAGTGAGCTCTGCTGATGCATCACAGTTTGGTCTGAATCACAAAAAGTCCAATTCTAACGTGTTGCTTGACCAAGGAAAGAAGAGACCTGTTTTTAAGGAAAAGATAATGTCAGGAAAGCTCAATGCTCAAGTATCAGGAAAAAATAGAAACTTGAATCAACATTCTACAGATTCTAAACCAATGAAGATGAAACATCCCAACAGGTCTAACAACACGATAGAAGAGAGACATGTGTCCGAAGAGAGAGAAAAGCGAACAAGTGAAGGTACCAGAAAGTATATTAAGTTGAAACGTAAGACAGATGCTGATCAATCTAGTTCTGGAACTCCTAAGAAATCAAAAACTGAACATGTTCCCTATGCTGATAAACAACCGAATCCTGGCACGGGCCTTGGGAAGGTGGTTCCAAAACAAGAGGCTGTAATACAATTTGTTATTGATGCAATTCAAGCGGAAGCTTTTAATCCCAAGACTCTTTTTCTGATTGGCAGCTATACAATTGGAAAAGAAAGGCTATTCTTGGAGGTTGCTCATTCGCTTCGCAAAAAGGTTTACGTAACTACAGCAAAATTACGCCTTTTAAACTGTTTAGAATTTACTGAGGAGGATATGCAGTGGTTTACTTCAAATGAGCATGAAAGCAATATTCATGTTGCCCCTATGTGGACACTCGGAAGCTTCAAAATATTGAAGCACATATCAAGTCAATATCTGAGTCGGTTCAGTCTTATAGTTGCTTTCTCTCCTACTGGTTGGACATTTGGCAAAGGTAAAAAGAAGTCTCCTGGAAGAAGGTGGCAGCAGGGTACTGTTATAAGGTATGAAGTTCCTTACAGTGAGCATTCCAGCTTTACAGAACTCAAAGAGTTTGTAAATTTTGTGTCTCCCAATAACATTATACCAAGTGTGAATAATGATGGACCAGAATCTGCGGAAGCAATGGTTTCTCTCCTGTCAACTTGATTTGTGCACTAAAAGGGGTTCAGTTCAGTCTACCCTTGTAACATCTGTGTTTGAGAGTCAGGAAGTTGCTTGAGCAATATGAGCAGCAGTAACTTTTTATTCCAATCACTTTTCAGATTTGCTGCTTTGCCAAAAGGTTAAAATGTGAAAAGAGAAGAAACTATATATTTTAGCAGAGGAGCTTATCTTGCTTATTTTCATGCGAAAGTATGCACGTTTATGTCAACCGTGACATAAAATCTGAAGTGATTGTTGTCCACTACATACTAAGTTGGGAAGTGTTTACAACCCCTTCCTCTGTTGATCCTGAATTAACCCAATGCTTTTTCCAGCAATAAGATGGAGCTTGTCAAAGTTCTTGTTGCACTGCAACCTGTTGGTCTATTGTTTGAGATCTTTAACATTTGGTTGCAGATAATAATGCTTAGCGCTTTAAAAAACCTCTCTAGCCTGTATTATTTGTGTAATTTTGCTTTGTACTTTAAATTCTCAGCTTTCTACATTCTTCTGTAACTGATCACATAATAGTTAACAATTATATGGATGCTTGATTATGCACTTAGACAGGTTGTGTCCAAATTAACAGCTCATCAATCTCCTCCTAACAACTTTATAACTCTCTAACTACCTCCAAACAGAATTCCCAACTAGCATAACCACCTTGTAACCAACTCTCAATCTCACCCTTCAATCCCTAACAAACTTTATCCAAATCAATGGTTCAGATTGATTCCCACATAATCGTTTCCTCCCTCAACTACCTATATAATCCAAACCCCCTCCAAGTTTTGAGGGGACGAGGTCACTCTCTCTTTTCCAGTTTCAGAACTTCATCATTGTATCAGCTTCAAAACAACTTCTTCCCTCTTCATCATTCACTCTCAATTTTTCTGAACTCTCATAATCTTCAACTTCCCCTCTCTAAACTCCGTCTTCACCGCCACTCTCCATTGTTCGACCTTCAGTTAGTTCTCAAAGCTTCACTTCTCTCTGATTCATCATATAAAGTTCATTTTTCTCAACTCGCGATAATCTTCATAATTGTCATCATTTCCGCTCTTCTCCTATCGCCAACGCACGCAACTCCCAGACCAAAGAAAAAGTGAAGACAGTGAGGAGAGAATCAAGACGAAGCAGACAAGATCAAGAAAAACAATAATTGTATTACTTCACCTCTGGATTTCTGAAGCACTACCAACGTGCCTTCGATAGGTAATCCTCAATCTTCTTCTTTTTACGATTTTTTTTTCTTGGTCTGTACCATAACCGCGAAGGATAAAATGCGGCGAATGATAAATCCACCATGTAATCTTGACCGGAAGAAATGTAGAGCTTAAGTTTCATTGTTAGATTCGGAATAGAGGAAGAGAAATTGACAAAAGCAAGCAATGGAATCGAATTCAGAGGGAGACGTTAGGTGGTATTAGCAAGAAAGTTGAATCGGAACAGGGGAGAAGGGGTGGAGTCATGGCGGCATCGCCATTGTTGTTGTCGACATGTAGAAGAAAGGCTTTCTGCGTAAAGGAGCTGGAAGGGGTCGTTTACAGTAAACGTCGTCGTTTTGGAATTCTTTTATTTCTTTTTCTCCTTTTATTATTATTCATTTATTTAATTGTTATTTCAAATAGTTAAATCAAAAAAAAAAGAAGAGGAGAACTTATTATATTCTTTTTATTATTTTGCCTTTGGAAATTAATTCATAATTATTCGGATACTCGAAACTGGTAATTCACTTTGCTCGTCAAGATTCGAGTCTTATGCAGGTTTTTATATGGATATGTTCGAGATGCCGATTGTGATTCATTTTCACATTAAAAGATGCTTCAGTAATGGGGTTTCTGACTCTTTTCTTTGTTGGTGCTAGCAGCTCGCAAGAACATCAAGTATCTTTGCTTTTTCTACTTTGCTCTACGGGCTAGTATCCGTTTGGTATACTTTCTTTCTATTTTACCTCGCATTTATCTTTTCCCATAGATCATATGAAGTGTGATAGAATCAGGTTTAGGCTAGTCTCCCTATAATGTTTCTTTCCCTTTTCGCATATGCATTTATAATAACAAAAATTCCTTTTTTTTACAAAACTTCAAAAATACAAAAAAAGGGAAATTTCTTGACAAGAACCACGTCTTGGCTAAGTTTGAGAGATGATAAGCGGGTTTCTTCTCGACCTTATTATTCTCTTGTTCTAAGCTTTGGTATGGTTCAAGTCTCAAAGACTCATTTCATGAATAAGTAGAGACATGGCTAAAATCTCTCTCTTGAGATCAACTAGCTATTATCTACAAGCAAAAATACCAACCAATACAAACTCTTTTTGCCTTCGGGCCCTTCCTTTCAAACTCTTTTCAAAAGAACGTACCAATTCACTTTTGTGCTGACGCGTAAATCTCCAAAGGTCGAGTTGCGGCAGAAGGCGAAATCACTATCGTTCATTCAAAAACAAACGAATTTAAAACTTTTTGTGCGTCCAGGCACATTTCTTTCCAAACTTTTCAGAAGAGCATGTTAATTCACTTCTGTGCTGACGCGTAAGTCTCCAACGGTCGAGTTGCGGCAGAAGGCGAAATTAATATTGTTCAGTAAAAAATGCAAACAAACAAAAACATATAAGCCGAACTACGGTAGCTCTGATTCCTCAAAACGGATACGTAGGCATTGGGGTAGGGCCCAGGCGAGCACAATTTTATTTTCCCTACATTTTTTCCCTTTTCTTTTGCATGCATTCTCCCTTAGCATTAATAAACAGTAAGCATAGATTGAACACACCCATAAGATAGATAACAAGAGTGGATACCGCAGAGTACTACGGGCGTGTGGGGTGCTAATACCTTCCCCTCGCGTAACAGACTCCCTTACTCGATCTCTCGGTCGCAAGACCGTGACTTCTCCCTTCCTCAGGTTTTCTCGATGTTTACCTTTCCCTACATGTGGGATAAAAGACGTTCGATGGCGACTTCATTGTTTTGATGATTTTTAGCCGGTTGTTTCAGCTGACAACTTCACTGGGGAATAGGTCGACCAGACGCTGGTCCATCCCGGAGTCGCTCCTAGCTCTTGATTTCTTTTCTTAGGGTGTTTATTTTTATGCTTTCAGTTCATTCGTTCATTTTTTAAATATACCTGTGCATATGCATGTATTACACTCTATTGCCTTCCATATACTGCTGTTGTACTGTATCTGCTTCTTGCTTGAGTGGGAATGTTACTATTGAGGTAAAAGGCCCAATACCCGGGCCAGAGTGCACTAGGACACCTAGGAATAGAGTGGGGGCATGACGGCTATAGGACGTGGTCCGATTAGTGCAGTCATGTCATATACCACGCTCGGAGGAGGTTCAATTGAAGGTACTTTCATCATGCACGTCTGTGTTGCGATGATTTTACTTTCAGGCGGACCCGTGATTTTCGAGTTACCATTATCTCACCCTGACCTAGTCTTCACACGTGAGTGGGGAGGGATTTATCATTACAGGTACGGTTG